AGAATGCAGAAGTTCAACAACTCGCTGCCCCTTCCTGCGCTGGACACTTCCTCAGTCTTGGCCAGTGTGCCGAGGCTGTGGCTCTACCTACTGGGCAACACACTCACACAGTATCCTTTTTTGTACAATACACTACTATGTTGGGTAGATCTACGTGTGTGTACTGGGACCATGTCACCCAGCACACTGAGGTAGGTCTGCTCTTTGTTCATAATTGTGTACATGTGCTTCTGTGTTTTATAATGTGCACATTTATGGTTCAACTGTCTGTCTGCCTACCTGTATCTTTATATTTTATTTTATTTGTATATGATCATTGGTGTGGTATTATGAGTGTCCATATTAATCTCTCCAGCTTACTTCATGCTGTCACTTGGCCAAATTCTTCTCTATACAATACACGACAGTTTCAGCTAGCATCTTTGACACCACTTATTGTTCTTTACAACTCCACTAGTCATAATATAGGTAATAACACTAATAGTTGAGCTTTTGATAAGAGTGCCAATACAAAAGGGTTCAGAGTCACTAACACCCATCCAGGTTGCTTTTTGTTGGTTAATCTTCAGGATCAAGGGTAATAAAACAGTTTTTTGTTTATGTACATTATTTAACATTATTTGTTATTTATAGGTTATGGTGTTATAGGTAGTGATGGGTTTTATTTATATTTATTGTGACATTACTACAGTTCCCACCAAGAACAAATTGACACACATAAAGGGCTCAGGAAATAAACCCTATTGTAACCTGAGAAAAGAATTCACAAGACCGAACCTAACAAGAGAGACCCACTCATTCACTGTTACAACTACACCAGCAACAGTTACTTTACATGAAGATTAACCACCTTAATGCTAACCTAACCTAAGCTAACCTAACCTAACCAACCCTAGGGTAACCTAACCTAACCAACCCTAAGGTAACCCAACCCAACCTAACCTAAATTATGAGTTGAAAAATAACCAAATCATATCATATATACAACAATATTCCTATTGGCCACAACACTTGGTGCAGGATTCTTCCGAGATAAAAATTTCCGGGTAACAAGAAAACTCTCAACTCTGAAAAATCCCACATTCCCGGGATTTTTCCCATTACCGGGGAGTTTCTGGAAATTGTGCACACCTGATTTTTAACCTGGGAAACATCCTCACCGACCTAGAATGGAGAGAATTTTCCCTGAAAAATTCCAAGCCAATTTCTATTCTGGTTATTGGAGAGTTCTAACGACAGAAATATTAGAGTTATAGCTCATTGGATGATAAATAGTTTGGTCATCAGGTAGTGAACAGTTGGAATTTGTTTGGTGGGTCTGTGGTAGGGAACATGAGTTACTGTACATACTTGACATGGTGAGAGGAACAGGAACAGGAACTGGTCACTCACACATTACAGGAGGTCCCCGGTTATGAATGCACGGAGGTCCCCGGGTTATGAACGACACGGGGAGGTCCCCGGTTATGAACGCACGGAGGTCCCCGGTTGTGAACGCTGGAGGTCCCCGGTTAGAACGCGCGGAGGTCCCCGGTCAGAACGCTGGCAGAGTCCCCGGTTAGAACGCGCTGAGGTCCCCGGTTAGAACGCTGGAGGTCCCCGGCCAGAACGCCAGCTGGCATCCCGGCCAGAACGCGGAGGTCCCCCGGCCAGAACGCCAGCTGGAGGTCCCCGGCCAGAACGCGCTGGAGGTCCCTGGTTGTGAACGCGCTGGGAGGTCCCCTGGAAGTTAGAACGCTGGAGGTCCCCGGTTAGGAACGCTGGAGGTCCCCGGTTGTGAACGCTGAGGTCCCCGGTTGAGAACGCGCGGAGGTCCCCCCGGCTAGAACGGCTGGAGGTCCCCGGTTGTGAACGCACTGGAGGTCCCCTGCCAGAACGCTGGAGGTCCCCGGTTGAAACGCGGAGGTCCCCGGGTTGTGAACGCGGAGGTCCCGCCAGAACGCGCGGAGGTCCCTCGCCAGAACGCGGGAGGTCCCGGTCAGAACGCGCGGAGGTCCCTGGTTAGAACGCGCGGGAGGTCCCTGGTTGTGAACGCGGAGGTCCCTGGTTGTGAACGCGGAGGTCCCTGTGAACGCTGGAGGTCCCCGGTTGTGAACGCGCGGAGGTCCCCGGTTGTGAACGCGGAGGTCCCCCGGTTGTGAACGCGCTGGAGGCCCCTCGGTTGTGAACGCCCGGAGGTCCCCGGTTAGAACGAAGGGGAGGTCCCGGTTGTGAACGCGCTGGAGGTCCCGGTTAGAACGCTGCTGGAGGTCTCCCTGGTTAGAACGCCAATGGAGGTCCCGGTTGTGAACGCGCTGCAGGTCCCTGCAAACGCCAGCAGGCCCTCGGTTGTGAATGCTGCAGGTCTCGGTTAGAACCAGCCCCGTTGTGAACGCGAGTGTCCCCGGGTCAGAACGCCAAGGAGCCGGTTGTGAACGCGCTGGAGGTCCTCGGTTGTGAACGCGCTGGAGTCCCCGGTTGTGAACGCGGGAGGTCCCCCGGTTAGAAGCGAGGCCCCGGGCTAGAATGGCAAGGAGGTCTCTGGAGATAGAACGCGAAGGGGAGGTCCCGGTTAGAACGCTGGAGGTCCCGGTAGTGAACGCGCGGAGGCCCCCCGGTAGTAACGCACTGGAGGAACAAGGAGGTCTTCGGTGAACGCTGGAGGTCCCCCGGTGAACGCGAGGTCCCGGTGAACGCGCGGGAGGCCCTCTGGGTAGTGAACGCTGGGAGGCCCTCGGTAGTGAACGCGGAGGTCCCCCGGAAACGCAGGGAGGTCCCCGGTGTGAACGCTGCGGGAGGTCCCCCGGTAGTGAACGCGGCAGTTCTCGGTAGAACGCGCGGGAGGTCCCCGGGTAGAACGCTGGGAGGTCTCAGAACGCGGAGGTCCCCGGTAGTGAACGCTGGAGGTCCCCCGTAGTGAACGCGGGAGGTCCCCTGCAGTGAACGCGCTGGAGGTCCCCCGGTAGTGAACGCGCTGGAGGTCCCCGGTAGAACGCCGGAGGTCCCCGGTAGTGAACGCGCGGAGGTCCCCGGTAGTGAACGCCCTGGAGGTCCCCCGGTAGTGAACGCCTGAGGTCCCGGTAGTGAACGCCGAGGTCCCGGTAGTGAACGCCGGGAGGTCTCGGTAGTGAACGCGCGAGGTCCCCCGGTAGTGAACGCGAGGTCCCCCGGTAGTGAACGCGCTGGAGGCCTCGGTAGAACGCGAGCTCCGGTATAAGGGAGGTCTCGGTAGTGAACAAGGGAGGTCCCCGGTAGTGAACGCGCTGGAGGTCCTCGTAGTGAACCGGGAGGTCCCCCCGGGTAGTGAACCGTGGAGGTCCCCCGGTAGTGAACGCGCTGGAGGTCCCCGGTAGTGAATCGCATGGGAGGTCCCCGGTAGTGAACGCGCTGGAGGTCTCGGTGAACGCCAAGGGAGGTTCCCCGGTAGTGAACGCGAAGGAGGTCCCCTCTGGGTAGTGAACGCGGGAGGTCCCTCGTAGAACGCTGGAGGTCCCCCGGTAGTGAACGCGCGGAGGCCCCCGGGTAGTGAACAGGGAGGCCCCCGGTAGTGAACGCTGGGAGGTCCCTGGTGAAGAACGCTAGGGAGGTCCCGGGTAGTGAACAAGGGAGGTCCCCCGGTGAACGCGGGAGGTCCCCCGGTAGTGAAGGGAGGTCCCGGTGAACGCTCCGGGAGGTCCCCCGGTAGTGAACGCGCTGGAGGGTCTCGGTAGTGAACGCGGAGGTCCCCCGGTAGTGAACGCCAAGGTCCCCCGGTAGTGAACGCGGAGGTCCCCCGGTAGTGAACGCGCGGAGGTCCCCGGTAGTGAACGCCGGAGGTCCCCCGGTAGTGAACGCGGGAGGTCCCCCCGGTAGTGAACGCCAAGGAGGTCCCCCGGTAGTGAACGCGCTGGAGGTCCCCCGGTAGTGAACGCGCGGGAGGTCCCCCGGTAGTGAACGCGCGGGAGGTCCCCCGGTAGTGAACGCAGGAGGTCCCCCCAGTGAACGCGCGGGAGGTCCCCGTAGTGAACGCCGGAGGTCCCTCGGTAGTGAACGCGCGGAGGTCCCCCGGTAGTGAACGGAGGTCCCCCGGTAGTGAACGCGAGGCCTCCCTGGTAGAACGCTGGAGGTCCCCGGTAGTGAACGCGCTGAGGTCCCCCGGTAGTGAACGCGCTGGAGGTCCCCGGTAGTAACGCTGGAGGTCCCCCGGTAGTGAACGCTGGAGGTCCCCGGTAGTGAACGCGCTGGAGGTCCCCCGGGTAGTGAACGCAGGGAGGTCCCCCGTAGTGAACGCTGGAGGTCCCCCGGTAGTGAATGCGGAGGTCCCCGGGTAGTGAACGCGCTGGAGGTCCCCGGTAGTGAACGCGCTGAGGTCCCCGGTAGTGAACGCGGGAGGTCCCCTGTAGTGAACGCTGGAGGTCCCCGGTAGTGAACGGCTGGAGGTCCTCAGGTGAACGCGCTGGAGGTCCCCGGTAGTGAACGCGGGGAGTCCCCGGTAGTGAACGCGCTGGAGGTCCCCCGGTAGTGAACGCTGGAGGTCCCCCCGGTAGTGAACGCAAGGGAGGTCCCCCCGGTAGTGAACGCTGAGTCCCCGGTAGTGAACGCCGCTGGAGGTCCCCGGTAGTGAACGCGCTGGAGGTCCCCCGGGTAGTGAACGCCGAGGCCCCCCGGTGTGAACGCGCTGAGGTCCCCGGTAGTGAACGCGCGAGGTCCCCGGTAGTGAACGCTGGAGGTCCTCCGGTAGTGAACGCGGAGGTCCCCGGTAGTGAACGCCGCTGGAGGTCCCCCGGTAGAACGCTGGAGGTCCCCCGGTAGTGAACGCTGCGAGGTCCCCCGGTAGTGAACGCCGGAGGTCCCCCGGTAGTGAAGCGGAGGTCCCCGGTAGTAACGCTGGAGGTCCCCCGGTAGTGAACGCGCTGGAGGTCCCCCGGTAGTGAACGCTGGAGGTCCCCCGGTAGTGAACGCGCTGGAGGTCCCCCGGTAGTGAACGCTGGAGGTCCCCCGGTAGTGAACGGGCGGAGGTCCCCGGTAGTGAACGCTGGAGGTCCCCCGGTAGTGAACGCGCTGGAGTCCCGGTAGTGAACGCCACGGGAGGTCCCCCGGTAGTGAACGCTGCTGGAGGTCCCCCGGTAGTGAACGCTGGAGGTCCCCCGGTAGTGAAGCTGGAGGTCCCCCCGGTAGTGAACGCGCTGGAGGTCCCCCCGGTAGTGAACGCCATGAGGTCCCCCGGGTGAACGCGCTGGGTCCCCCGGTAGTGAACGCGCTGGAGGTCCCCGGTAGTGAACGCGGAGGTCCCCCGTAGTGAACGCGCTGGAGGTCCCCCGGTAGTGAACGCGCTGGAGGTCCCCCAGGTAGTGAACGCGCTGGAGGTCCCCCGGTAGTGAACGCGCTGGAGGTCCCCCCGGTAGTGAACGCTGGAGGTCCCCCGGTAGTGAACGCGCTGGAGGTCCCCCGGTAGTGAACGCGCGGAGGTCCCCCGGTAGTGAACGCGCTGGAGTCCCCCGGTAGTGAACGCCAGGAGGTCCCCGGTAGTGAACGCGCTGGAGGCCCCTCTGAGTAAACGCGGAGGTCCCCCGGTAGTGAACGCAAGGGAGGTCCCCCGGTAGTGAACGCTGGAGGTCCCCTGGTAGTGAACGCCGGGAGGTCCCCGGTAGTGAACGCGGGAGGTCCCCCGGTAGTGAACGGGAGGCTCCCCGGTAGTGAACGCCATGGGAGGTCCCCCGGTAGTGAACGCTGAGGTCCCCCGGTAGGAACGCTGGAGGTCCCAGGTAGTGAACGCCAAGGTCCCCGGTAGTGAACGCGCGGAGGTCCCCAGGTAGTGAACGCTGGAGGTCCCCCGGTAGTGAACGCGCGGGAGGTCCCCCGGGTAGTGAACGCGGGAGGTCCCCCGGTAGTGAACGCGCGGGAGGTCCCCGGGTAGTGAACGCTGGAGGTCCCCCGGTAGGAACGCGGAGGTCCCCCGGGTAGTGAACGCGCTGGGAGGTCCCCTGGTAGTGAACGCCGGAGGTCCCCCGGGTAGTGAACGCTGGAGGTCCCCCGGTAGTGAACGCGGGAGGTCCCCGGTAGTGAACGCTGCTGGAGGTCCCCCGGGTAGTGAACGCGCTGGAGGTCCCCGGTAGTGAACGCTGGAGGTCCCCCGGTAGTGAACGCGCTGGAGGTCCCCGGTAGTGAAGCTGGAGGTCCCCCGGTAGTGAACGCGCTGGAGGTCCCCCGGTAGTGAACGCGCTGGAGGTCCCCCAGGTAGTGAACGGCGGAGGTCCCCGGTAGTGAACGGGCGGGAGGTCCCCGGTAGTGAACGGGCGGAGGTCCCCGGTAGTGAACGGGCGGGAGGTCCCCGGTTGTGAACGGCCAACTTACCAACATCCCCCGATACGTAACAAGGTTAAATTTTTAATTTACAGTATTTTATTTACCTGATGACTTATTTTTACTTAATTTATTTTTTTGTCATTCTATTTTTCTAAATTAAGTGATTATTTAAATGTATATATGGACTTTGGCTATGATATAATGGGACTTTAAACATTGTTCTCTAAGTACAGTATGCATATAGCATGTGTTCTGACTTACATACATTTTTGACTTACGGCGTTCTCAGGAACTGAAACCGTTCATGACCCGGGGACCCCCCTGTATACACACATTTGTTTTCCTACACTCGCTAAGGCTCTCTTATGTCTCTATGGTCTTTTTCTTCCTTACACTTTTCTCTTCCCACCTGTACTGTGTTAACTGTTTGTCATGACCAGAACACACTTTGGGATACAGTGAAAACATTAGTTATGTGAATGGTTTAATAACTACATGTTAAACAACTCTCCAGTCAGATTATGTTTGTCCTTAACTTTTGGGCTCAGATATGTGTGTATTAGCTCCGTGTTCACCCTGACGTCACAGTGCACCTCGCTCACCGTCACGCTCGTCCTCCCCTCGCGCAAGTTTCTGTCCCTCATTTTCTCCATCGTCTATTTCCAGAACCCATTCACCATACACCACTGGATGGGGACGACCTTCGTGTTTGGCGGAACTCTCTTATTCCGCCCGATGCGGTAGGGAAGGTTAAGGAAGCGTTGTGCTTTACTAAAGCCAAGGAGGAATGAAGTCTTAATGTGTGTATGTATGTGTGTTGTGACTTCATAATTTATCCTTATTGTAGGAAATGTGGACTTGGTGCTGAAATACTGAGACATGTAACAATCAATCTATTGAATTGTTCTATCATTTCTATTCACTACCTGGTCAGCCCTACCTAATGAGGGTGAGGGTATGAGGTAGATAGATGGACAACCAGGGCAGTTACTTTGTCTTGGTCGTGTAAAAGGGCATTAGGATTATTTTTTTGAAGGAAAGGAAAATTCAACTTATTTCAAGAAGGAACACGTCTATATTGTAAACATTCATTAGGTGACATTGTCTTGTGAATTTTAGGTTTTGTAGACGTTGTCAGCGGTGTGTTGGGCGTAGGTGGGAGGATGGAACAAAGGTGGTTGTATACTTGAGTGAGACTTGGTAACCATCTTAATGATCTCTGGTAAGAACCTCTCTACGGTGATGCCGTGTCAACTCTCGGGTGGGAGACGACGCTCTTATGTGATGTTTGGGGGCCAATTTCTGTATATATCAACCTGAATATTGACCTGATGAGTGTAATATAATTTTAAGTGTAATATTAGTAATTTTCTGATTGGTTTTAATCCTCTTTAAATTGATCTGATGTTTATAAATGTGATCTCCCTTTATCTGATTAGTTGAGTGGTGTAATAACCTTGTCAACCAGAGGTACAGTATTGGTCACCTTAACTGTTCCTTAACCCTTGACGGCACCTTAACCTCTGGTGTCTCGTTACTACAGTACGACTTTTACTCACTCCAACTTCTTCCCGATTGGTCTGATTTTGTACCTGACCAGCATGATTGTCCATTTTGGTAGTTAATTATATATTTCTAGTTATTTATTTAACTTTTTTTTACTGTACTGTACAGGGTATTGTTGTGGGAACTCTTGGCAACCATTGGCCAAAATGAACCCCCTGCCATTTAAAGACCTTAGTTTACCAGCCAGTCAGAGATCCTTAGGGAGGGAGGGGGAGTTCAGTAGTCTTGGGTACTGACACTACATTGAGCTGGATATTTGTGGGACCACCAGCCCACTATACGCCCTCCTACCACAAGCTGGAACCCCTATGCGAGTGATGCTATGGGGTGAGTTGGTCAGATTTCTCCATATGTGACTTTCTACCTGGCCTGTGTGGTGGCCTTTGATGGGGTGTACTGATTGACTGGTGGGATTGTTCTGTCACCAACCACGTTAAGTTACTCCCTGACTAGTGTGACCGTTCCATAAACACACCTCAGGTCTGACCCGTAGGTGAATCAATGCTCCACCTGTGTGATATAATATTGTACTGTATTTCACTTGTTTCTTTTAAGGTTCAGAGTCTGTGTAAATTTGTTACTGTGAGACACCAAACATTAACCTTTAAATAGTGGTCATCATCAGTGTAAGTTAGCTGTAGGGACGGTGGTCATCATCAGTGTAAGTTAGCTGTAGGGATGGTGGTCATCATCAGTGTAAGTTAGCTGTAGGGATGGTGGTCATCATCAGTGTAAGTTAGCTGTAGGGACAGTGGTCATCATCAGTGTAAGTTAGCTGTAGGGACGGTGGTCATCATCAGTGTAAGTTAGCTGTAGGGACGGTGGTCATCATCAGTGTAAGTTAGCTGTAGGGATGGTGGTCATCATCAGTGTAAGTTAGCTGTAGGGACGGTGGTCATCATCAGAGTGGATTAGCTGTAGGGACAGTGGTCATCATCAAAATGTAAGTTAGCTGTAGGGGACGGTGGTCATCATCAGTGTAAGTTAGCTGTATGGACGGTGGTCATCATCAGTGTAAGTTAGCTGTAGGGATGGCAGCCTTCATTAGTGTAAGTTAGCTGTAGTGATGGCAGCCTTCATCAGTGTAAGTTAGCGCTAGGGATGGCAGCCTTCATCAGTGTAAGTTAGCTGGAAGGATGGCAGCCTTCATCAGTGTAAGTTAGCTGTAGGGATGGCAGCCTTCATCAGTGTAAAGGCTGTAGGGATGGCAGCCTTCATCAGTGTAAGTTTAGCTGTAGTGATGGCAGCCTTCATCAGTGTAAGTTAGCTGTAGGGATGGCAGCCTTCATCAGTGTAAGTTAGCTGTAGGGATGGCAGCCTTCATCAGTGTAAGTTAGCTGTAGGGATGGCCTTCATCAGTGTAAGTTAGCTGTATGGACGGTGGTCATCATCAGTGTAAGTTAGCTGCAGGGATGGCAGCCTTCATTTGTGTAAGTTAGCTGTAGTGATGGCAGCCTTCATCAGTGTAAGTTAGCTGTAGGGATGGCAGTTCATCAGTGTAAGTTAGCTGGGGATGGCAGCCTTCATCAGTGTAAGTTAGCTGTAGGGATGGCAGCCTTCATCAGTGTAAGTTAGCTGTAGGGATGGCAGCCTTCATCAGTGTAAGTTTCATGTTCTTTTTTATATTTTTACATATACTGTACTACAGTATAGAAAGCGAATGAGGGAGGAATCTTTAGCTGCTGTTTAAGGGTTAATGGTCTCAGCTTCAAGAAACTCATCTGTGTTCATCTCATTTAAGTCAGTTTGTCTTTTAGTATGTATCCTGCGATACACCAGACAAGTAGGAGAATCTCACTTGCTGTTGGCTCCATCGGCCTCTTGGCGTCTGAACCACGTTTAGTGATGATTTTTGTCAGCTTGTTTTCTTTCCTCTCATTTTCTTTATTTTCAGGAAGTTTCAAGGATGGGTAAAATGAGTTTGTTAATTTATACAGTATATCATTGTTTGTATTCTTAGAGAGCCAGCCCAGTAATCCTTACAGTTATATGCTGACTTAACATGGGTCAGGGTTCTGACATGACAACTATTAGTAGTGATTAATATGTAAAGTAGGAAGTGGTGGAACTCAGTGAGCCAGAGACAGATGCTGACCGAACCTGTGGAACTGGTGAGGCGCTTAGTGTTGCCAAGGCCTGTAGGGGCACATTGTGAAGAAATTCTGTACATAATTGTGATGTTAGTATTTAGAAATATGTGACTACATTTACTGTACAATTTACTCGTGCAAAATAAAAGAATCTGGACGCCATTTTGGCACATGCACTGACTCTAAGGCTAGATGATGTAGTTTAAAGCCTTGATGTTATAGTGACAGCTTCAAGGTTCTGTGTCAGCCCTCAGGTGAGAAGGGTTAGTTTGCCTGGGCCATAACACAAGGTTAAGTGCACACCACTCACCCTGTTGTCCTTCCTGAGTCACAAGATCCGTACACCGAGTTATGGTGGACATCATGAGTCACGTGAGTCACAAGATCCGTACACGGTTATGGTGGACATCATGAGTCCGCGTGGTCACAAAATCGATACACGAGTTATGGTGGACATCATGAGTCGTGGTCACAAGATCCGTACCCGAGTTATGGTGGACATCATGAGTCACGTGAGTCACAAATCCGTAGACGAGTTATGGTGGACATCATGAGTCGCGTGGTCACAAGATCCGTACACGAGGTTATGGTGGACATCATGAGTCACGTGAGTCACAAGATCCGTACACCGAGTTATGGTGGACATCATGAGTCACGTGAGTCACAAGATCCGTACACCGAGTTATGGTGGACATCATGAGTCACGTGAGTCACAAGATCCGTACACCGAGTTATGGTGGACATCATCTTTTTGTTTTCTTCTGTTACATTTGAATTGGCTCCTTATTAATTTTTATTAATAGTTGAACTTATAAAGGAAAAACCTTCCCCACACCTTGTGTTTATAAACTGGGTTTGTAGTTATTATATATATACAGTTAGTGATGGTCGGCCATCTTATAGGCCAACACTGTTTGTTTCCTTAGATACAAAATTTTAGCACATGACAGTGATTGGATGTTAAAGTTTGATAAATGTAAGGGTGTTGTTGCTGCCTTTAGCTTTGCATTACGTAGTTATAAACATTATATTAGTGTTCGGTGCTGTACAAGTTGTACGGTAAAACATAAAACTGATGGTCCATTGTTGGAGTAAACATATTTGGTTTTCTGTGACAGTGTACCAATTATTACTGATGATTGGAGAACTTTTGTTTATCTTCAACACAGTGTTGGCTGTTGTGTGACTCATGACATGGACAGACTACAAAACAAAATTAGTTTGTCATATTTTCTTTATGTGAAATGTTGGCTTTGTTCCCGAAGTTTGTCTTAATTTTCTGTACAAAAGAAGTGAACATGTTTGCTTCTGAGTGAGCATCAGTGAGACCCTTACAGTGAAGCACACACATGTTAAACCTGTGTAGCCTAGGGAATTAATGCCTCAGCTGACCAGTTAATGAAGTTATATAATGGGGTAATGAAGTATTTTTTTAGCACTCAGTCATCCACTCACATGGAAAATTATTTCAAGAAATTACCAGGAGCAGATTCTTATTGACCTTACCTCTGCTGTCATTTAGTACAGTATCTGTTGGAACTGCCAATCAGTAATGATGATTAATGATGTGGTGGTTACATGTGGGGTGGAGGCTGCAGTCTAGCACAGGCTACTTGTATTGACCAAAGGAACTGTCAGTCTTTAGTTCAGTAATACAGTATGTCTACTAACAGCTGAGACATATTATTTATGCTGTTTTGCACCTTTATCTGTTAGACAGCAGCCATCATCAGTGGAAGTTAGCTGTAGGGACGGTGGCCATCATCAGTGGAAGTTAGCTGGGGCGGTGGCCATCATCAGTGGAAGTTAGCTGTAGGGACGGTGGCCATCATCAGTGGAAGTTAGCTGAAGGCGGTGGCCATCATCAGTGGAAGTTAGCTGTAGGGGCGGTGGCCATCATCAGTGGAATTAGCTGTAGGGGACGGTGGCCATCATCAGTCAGGATTAGCTGTAGGGACGGTGGCCATCATCAGTGGAAGTTAGCTGTAGGGACGGTGGCCATCATCAGTGAGAGTTAGCTGTCAGGACAGTGCTCATCATGAGTGGGAGTTTTATGTGGCTTGTGTTCCATTTCTACACACATGGGGAGGAAGATTTAGTCCATAGTTGGCAGTGAAGGGTGTAATGATGGCAGCCACTGGTTGAACTAGTAGGACCCAGAACTATGCTGTGTGGGCTGCTGTGTGTCCATAAAGTCTCCGTTTTTTTGACCTCAGAGTTTCTTCTGATGACACTCTT